AAAAAAAAAAAAAAAAATATATATATATATATATATATATGTGTGTGTGTGTGTGTGTGTGTGTGTGTGTGTCAAGGGAGTGAAAAGACAAAAACAAGAATTTAGGAGAAAGAAAGATGGTTGGAGGCTTGACAGTGTAATGTGGAAAGCAGTCTTGAGCAGAATTCAATCTTGAGCAGAATTCAAACAGAACTAGGTGTAGTGAGGAATTAGGCCAAACGGGCTTGGGTCAGAGCCTGTCTGGAGTAGGTGAAGGACACTTCATGATTGGGTCATGAAAGAACCCAGGTCAGAAAGCTGTGAAGATGGCAGTTTATTGTGAGACTTTTGGTTTGATAAGCTTGACCTTTATTCTTCTGGGCAGTTGTGTAAAAACTTTCAAGTCAGGGAATGACATCATACAAGAAGGAGACCAGAGACTGAAGACAGAGGAACCAGGTAGGAGGCCACAGGGAGCATTCTGTGATAAGACCTTATTGTAGGAGTAGGAAGGGAAGGATGGGTTTGACAGATATCAGAAGGAAGAGTCAACAGCACTTGCCTCTGATTGGCTGTGAGCAGAGAAGGGGCGGAGGGTGACTCAGAGCAACTTCTTTCTTTTTTCAAGTGTGTTGAGGGGAGGATCTGGAAGCAAGTGATAGACTTCTGGTGGAAAGTGTTTGCAAATGGAGGGAAAGATTTACCTATCTATCAGCAGGGTGTGCTTGCAACTGATTATCTTATACAAACTGTGGAGTTTCTCTATGAGATAGTCAGACAGAAGGTATCACTGAGTTAGAAGAGCAAGATCAGAGAGCAACTCCTGGCTCACGCAGGGTGGGAGAGTGGAAAATGTACTCTGCTCTGGAGTCACAAACTCTGGGCTGAATCCCAGGGTTTTTTGTTGTTATAATTTCACTGTATGTACTCGGACAAAACATTTTTTTTTCAAGTTGGAGTCTCACTCTGTTGCCTAGGCTGTAGTGCAGTGGCACGCTCACGGCCACTACAGCCCCGACCTGCTGGCTCAGGGAATCCTTCCACCTCAGCCTTCCAAGTAGCTGGAATTACAGGTGCACGCCACCACGCCTGGAAAATTTGTTGATTTATTGTCGAGACGAGGTCTCGCCATGTTGCCTTGGCTGGTCCCGAACCCGTGGGCTCAGGCAATCCTCTCACCTCTGCCTCCCAAAGTGCTGAGATTATAGGCATGAGCCACTGCACAGACTGGTCCTGTTTTCTTATCTGTAAAATGGGGACATATATTTTTTATGTTTTAGGTCTTTAGCTGGTACTATAGGCATGTACCACCATGCCCGGCTAATTTTTTTGATTTTTTTTTTTTTTTTGTAGAGATGTGGTCTCACTATGTTGCCTAGGCTGGTCTTGGTACTCCTGGGCTCAAGTGTTCCTCCTGCTTCAGCCTCCCAAAGTGATAGGGTTCTGGCATGAGCCACCATATCCAGCCATGTGTAGTGTTTTAACCTAGAATCCTGTGTGGGGTGGTAGTGGTGGGGGATGCTGCTATTGTCCCTAACTTACAAAAGAGGAAACCTAGGAATAGAGAGCTATCTTGCCTGATGACTCAGACATTTTGCTCCAGAAATTACACACTTACCCACTCCACCTTGCTGCCAGAAGCACCTGGTACCTAACCTGTAAGTGTTATTTAATCTGAAACTGTTGTAGGAAGGGCTGGGACAACAGCAAAGTTTTCGGAATCATCCACGATCAAAGAACTGGGAGCTTTTGAGTTATCCTGTGATCAGGACAATTCCCATTTCAGACATCGACTCCTCGATCCTCCCTCGTCTTTTTTTGTTTTTGTTTTTGTTTTTTGAGTTGGAGTCCCACTCTGTGGCCCAGGCTGGAGTGCAGTGGCACACTCATGGCCACCGCAGCCTCGACCTGCTGGGCTCCTGCGATCCTTCCGCCTCAGCCTTTCAAGTAGC